GTGATGCCATGGCACTCTACCCAGGGGGATAGCTTGAGGCTCCGTCTCAAAAAAAAAAAAAATATCCGTCTCAGCTTGGGCACGGTGGCTCATGCTTTGTAATCCTGACGCTCCAGGAGGCTGAGGTGGGAGGATCATTTGACCATAGGAGTTTGAGACCATCCTGAGAAAGAGCAAAACAGAAAAAATTTGCTGGGTGTGGTGGCACGCCTGCAGTCCCAGCTACTGGGAGGCTGAAATAGGAGGATAGGTTGGATCCAGAAGCTTGAGGTTACTGTGAGGTATGGTGATACCATTGTCCTCTATTTAGGACGACATAGGGAGACTGTCTCAAAAACAAAAAATCTGCCTCATCATGGAATGACTTAATTCAGTGAAAATGTGTTGACTTTGGTTGTGTTGGTAAACTTTAATCCAATTTAAGCAGTCTAATTGTAGTAATACATAAAAATTTATGGCAGTGCCTGTGGCTCAAAGGAGTAGGGCGCTGGCCCCATATACTGGAGGTGGCAGGTTCAAACCCAGTCCTGGCCAAAAACTGCAAAAAAAAAAAAAATTTTAATGACTTTGCCTATTTCAGGTTAAAGAGAAATATGCGTATTTTGACCCAGTCTTGATTAGTAAGTGGGTTTAAGGAAAGAGTACCATTTTCTCTCACTCTAGCCGTGGTGGTTAATACAGTTCCTCGGCACCCTGTAACTAATGTGGAGAATGAAAATACAGAGATTACTTTTTTCTCTAGGCATTTTATCTCAGCTTGGAATCTCTGAAATGTATATAATTAATCAACATACAATCACGTATCGTAATTCGCTGTGCATGATTTGTAATGTTCTCTTTTTGCCGTCAGTCTCTTTAAAACTAACAGTCTGTTTCGGATTTCTGTTTTGTCTCTTCAAGGAATAAGTCAGCAACCTGACCCAGGCTTTACTGGAGCTACGACTCCCCAGAGTCCTCTCATGTCGCCCCGAATGGCACACACCCAGAGTCCCATGATGCAGCAGTCTCAGGCCACCCCAGCCTACCAGGCCCCCTCAGACATGAACGGATGGGCGCAGGGGAACATGGGCGGGAACAGGTAGCACCGTGGTTCTGTGTGTCTTGCCGACTATCTGTGCTTTGTATAGACTACCCGTCCCTTTTCTTTATTCTTCTTATAACTTCATTGCCCACGCAAGCAGTATCCAGTAAACTGCTAAGTAAGCCAGTTTGCTTTTCCTGGGGCAGGAGTCATCAGAATTTACAAAAGCTTAGCAAAACACCTTTTCCTTTGAAGTAAAAAGAACGGGTCTCTCAGAGGAAACACCCAGGAGTTTATGGTAGAAACTGCTGTGGAAGGCAGTGACCTGGAAGCCGCTCTTTATCAGCACATGTGATAAAAACAAACAAAAAGCTCCATGACCGAAAGCAGGGAATACACCTTGACTATTTGGGGATGTTCTGAAAAGGAGAAGAGCTCGGTGGCCGCTGCAGCTCCCTCAGCGCAGCCTCCCCTGCTGTCTCAGGCCCCAGGGACCCCACCACCTGCCAGTCACCCCACCCTGGGTTCATGCAGTTCGGATTTATTTGTTGTAACCTAAATGCCTGAGAGACAAGGGCTCTAAACTGCCTGCCTCTACTCCCCCGCAGGCTCTAACACTTCTCTCTCCCTTGTGTCCCAGCATGTTTTCTCAGCAGTCCCCACCACACTTCGGGCAGCAAGCAAACACCAGCATGTACAGTAACAATATGAACATCAATGTGTCCATGGCAACCAACGCGGGTGGCATGAGCAACATGAACCAGATGACAGGACAGATCAGCATGACCTCAGTGACCTCCGTGCCTACGTCGGGGCTGTCCTCCATGGGTCCCGAGCAGGTAAGCACCTGAGGCTTCTGATCATAGCTTTTGGTGTGTTTCTGCATTGAGCATATCTCTCCAGGAACCTAACTTCTGTTGTCAACTCCCACATTTATTTTAAGAAGTGTTTTTTCTCCTCATTTTCACCTGTGTAAGTGAGGTTAACAAAAATACTTGTTAATGATAAAATAAATATAAAAGAACTCCTGGCCCACTCAAGGATCTTTTAAAATATTTCTTAACTTTCTCATCATTTACATTTTTCTCTTATGTGAAGAATTTAGCAGTATCTAAAATGAATCACTAAAAATGGAGTAGCAGATATGCTCTTAAATAGCTTTATTTTGGGTTTATGGTTTAGGAAATGATACTTTTCTCAATGTAAAACCAGATGAAAAACAAGGGCCAACCACCTGCCATCCAGGTAGCTTGAAAGGCTCCTTCCCTGGTGTAGGGAGACAGGCACAGATAAACCAGAAGGTCTTCTTTTAATCTTTGGAACATGGGTGTCATGATTTTTTTTTAATAATTTTTTGTTGAATAACATGGAAATAATTTTATTGTCCCTGTGCACACACCAGCTTCCCTAGGTGGCAAAGACACTCAAAGCGTTTGAGGTGGTAAATCAGCCAGCCTGGAATTCAAAACTGTGGCTGATGCAGGGATAGAGATTCAGGTTAATAATCTTAACCACGGTATCTACAGAAGATCTTATTTGTGAAGGGCCCAAAATACTAATCATTCTACTCCTGATTCTCCCTAGCTCCCACAAAGTAAAAATGTGGCATGGATGCTGAACCTTATTTCATATATGGGCAAACTATAGCCCAGAAAAATTAAATGGCTTAAGCACCCAATCATTGGTAGCACTGAATTTGCAGTTAGAGCTAAGACTGTGGGAAGAGTGAAAGATTAGAAAAGGTTGATCAGAGCTGTTTAATTCTAATGTTAGTAGACCACAGTCTTTGTGAAAATGTACCAAATGTAACAATGCCTCAGTGTTTTATTCTGTAAAATGATGATTAATAAAAATATCAAGGTGGTACCTGAAAAATATTAAAGAACACTCTTTGCATTTTAAAAAGGCTCACACCTGTAAATCCTAGCACCTCTGGGAGATCAAGGTGGGGGGATTGCTTGAACTTAGGAGTTCAAGACCAACTTGAGCAAAAGCAAGACCCTGTCTCTAAAAATAGCCAGGTCAGTTGTGGCAGGCATCTGTGGTCCCAGCTACTTGGGAGGCTGAGGCAAGAGGGTCACTTGAGGCCAGGAGTTTGAGGTTGCTGTGAGCTATGACACTATAGCACTCTACCAAGGATAACAAAGTGAGACTATGTCTCAAAAATAAGTAAATAAAAAGGCGATGTGCTTATAGTAATAACTTGTACATCTATTGTATCGATGGTGGTTAAAGACAAAAAGAAATATAGACTTTAGTCTTTTCAGTGGAAAAAGTACAGGATTAATGTTGAACTTCCTACAAAAATGGGTTAATAGTGACCATGATTTGCTCAGAAAGGAATGGCCACTGGGATAGTCTAGTATCAGATAGGCCTGGTCTAACCTGCCCAGAAATGTTGCTACCACAACACCCAGCTAATTTTTTTCTACTTCTAGTAGAGACAGGTTCTTGTTCTTGCTCAGGGTGGTCTCAAGCTCCTGAGCTTAAGTAATCCAGCTTCCCAGAATGCTGGGATTACAGGCATGAGGCACTGCACCTGGCCCTGCTGCATTTTTAATAATCCAGACAGTTTTAAAACTTTTACATGGACTTAAACCTTCTTTTTTTTCTTAAGACAGAGTCTCACTTTGTTGCCCAGGTGAGAGTGCCATGGCGTTAGCCTAGCTCACAACAGCCTCAAACTCCTGGGTCCAAGCAATCCTCCTGTCCCAGACTCCTAAGTAGCTGGTACTACAGATGCCACTGCAATGCCCAGCTAATTTTTCTATTTTTAGTAGAGATGAGGTCATGCTCTTGCTTGGGCTCAAATTCCTGAGCTCAACAATCCTTCCCACATCAGCCTCCCAGAGTGCTAGGATTATAGGAGTGAACCACTACACCCAGCTGACTTTAAGCCTTTTGAATATCAGAGTTAGTTAGGAAGCCCCAAAACACAATTGCATTGCGTCTTCTGACAAAATCATTCCTCTGTTACCATTTGTACATTTACTTTGTAATTTATAAAATAAATGTACAAATGCAAATAGTTTGCTTTGTCAGGGTAAATTCACAAAATCTAGCACTATTTTGGGTACTCACACCTGCTCTTGCTAATTAATACCTTGCCTAAGTGGCAAAGATGTCAGGAGCCTCTCAGGTGACTTCAAAGTCCCGATATATGAGTCATTGGTCTAGTTTGAACCAGACAAAAAGTGAACAGGGTGGGGCATGAAGATGTTTCTACAATTATTATCTCTGTTGAATCTGATTACTATACAGAATGCAAATAAAGTTTAATTTTGAAAGCAGCTAGTGTATTATGAATATTTTCATATTCCTTTATACTTGCCCCTGTATACATGGGATAATCCTTTGGGGATGAAGACATCATTATAGAGTCCCTTTTCCCCATTATTAGATGTCCTAAAAAGAGGAAGAGAGGAAGGGTGCTGGTTGATTGTATCCTGCTGATGCATGTCTTCCTGTCCCAGGTTAATGACCCTGCTCTGAGGGGAGGCAACCTTTTCCCAAACCAGCTGCCTGGGATGGAGATGATTAAGCAGGAGGGAGACACATCACGGGTAAGAAACAGAAATCGGTGTGTAGTAGAAAGTGAACGTGCCAATATACTTCCCAGATATATTTATCAACCAGTGGATTAAAGATAGTTGTAAAATATCTTCTGATTTCATTTGGCATGCAGTGCTTTTGTGTGAATAATTATTGCGTTAAGCTAATTTTAATTGAGCTGATGATAACATATGAATTAAGAACACTAGTTTTACCCTGGGATGATATTATTACAGCAATGAAAAAAATAAAGTAGCAAAGACTTAATCACGTTAAAGCAAACTTATTTTTTCTTTTTCTGAATCATCATGATCATCATGTTAAATTTTTAGGAGGATGAAGAAGAGTTAACTAATAATTATTAGCTCTTAGGAGTAGGGTGCCAGCCCCATATGCCAGAGGCGGAAGGTTCAAACCCAGCCCCGGCCAAAAACTGCAAAAATAATAATAATAATTAGCTTTCTTAAGTCTAAGTATTTTTCTGTATTTCATTGTGTTCAGATGTTAATCTTGTGCATTATTTGTACTGTTTGTTTATTGTACCCTAAATTCTTATTCTAAGGAGAGTGGTATTACCGTGTTCAAACACATTTTGAAGCCATAGAATAATTAGTACTTAGAACCCAGGTGACATGTGTGCCTAGCAGCACATCCCGTGGGGTGGGGGCAGCTGTGGACAGTTTGGTGCATAGGCAGGTGAGTCTGTGTGGGCCTCTGAAGGTCAGGGATGTGACCTTAGCAGTAGATAGCTCTCTTTAGATTTTATTTATTTCTTTTTTGAAAAGTAAATTTATTTCAGGTCAATGTGAATACAAACAACCAGGTCAAAATATTTGATTTTGTTAGATAGAGTTCCTCTTATGTGATAGCTTTCTTTCTAAAAGTTCTCTCCCAATAGGAAAAATGTAGGGTTGATGTTAAATTTCCTACAAAAAAACTGGATGTTGGGTAGTTTTGTTAATATTAACATCCAGCTTTAGAATAAACTTTGATTGATTATGATAAATATGTTCCAGATTTTAGTAACATGTTGTATTAGTATTCTCCATGTGGCTTCTCTTACTATTAAGAACCGCGGTTGAGGATGGCAGAGACGCTGGCTGTGGCTGGAGTCCTGTACTGCGGGTGTTGTCTGTAATGCCCAGACAGCATACTGCTAAGACACACACACACGCGCACGCAAAAACTCACTTGAATGGTTTACATGTTGATACAGTAGGTCGAACAGAAGCTGGAATATATATGTGTATATATATATAATATATGTATATATATATATCTCATATTGAGCATGTGTTTAGGCTTGAAATGTACCACTGATTGGGGTTGGATGCCCCATGGGAGCCTAGTGTCTTCCCAGATGTCAGTCCGGTTTTACCCTCCCCTCCCCTGAATCTGCGCAGGAAAAGAATTCCCACTTAACTTGGTGGTTCATGTGCAGTAGGGGCTTGAGCCTGGAGGCACTTCCCAGAGAAGCAGGGACATTAGTGACAGTCAAGCTCCCAATAGAGAACAGCCACTTTAACCCCTGAGTGCCAGAGTGCTTCACCTCTGAGCACATGAAACCTCTGTGGGACAAAAGCGCATTTGGGAGGCCAGACTCACATTCCCCGCAGCCACCCTTCCTCCACCAGAGTCAGGTCAGGCTTCTGCCTCTCTGTCTTCAGCATCTGTGACTGTGTGCAGCCAGGCAGGGCTCCAGTGGAGCAAGCGCCCTGAGGACACGTGGTGTGGTACCCACGAGGATTGAAGGCAGGGAGCCAGTGACCAGGCCCAGTTCAACCACAGGAGAAAAACAGCTGGCTGGGGAGGGGTGGACCTGCAGCCATGGTTACCGGCAGGCAGGCCCCACTGCGCTGGGGAGTGGTGCTGGGCACTGTGGCAGGCCAGCAGGAGCAGGTGTGTACCTTCGTGCACATCCAGGTGCCTGATAGTGTCCCTAAACCCAAAATTGAAAGATTCACATTCAGATCTCAGACAGCGACTTTCAATAAACACAGGCTGCTTGCTCTGGTCATCAGAAAGTACTGTTGGGACCCATGACGAGAACCCCTTCTGTTTTCACCTGACTGGGCCGCCCTCCTTTCTCTGGCACTGCCAGTCCCCTCTGTAGTCTGGCCCCTCCGTCTGCACTTTGTTTATGTGGATTGGTAAGGCCACAGGGCAGTCTGCCTCTTGTTTTCTTCAGAGGATATGTATGGTGTGTCCCTTCTGATTCATGAGCAGGAACTAGAAGGTGCTTTCCACTTGTCACCACACCTGTGTGTGCTCAGACAGGCTCAGTCATCTTCATCCTCTGTATTCCCATAATATGCTCTGCTGCTGTTATGAATGAAGGAACTTTTTTTTTGAGACAGTCTCACTTTGTCACACTTGGTAGAGTGCTATGGCGTCACAGCTCACAGCAACCTCAACTCTTGGGCTTAAGTGATTCTCTTGCCTCAGCCTCCCAGATAGCTGGGATTGCAGGCGCCCGCCACAACACCCAGCTATTTTTATTTTTTGGTTGCAGTCGTCATTGTTGTTTGGCAGGCCTGGGCTGGATTCGAACCCGCCAGCTCCCATGTATGTGGCTGGCACCCTAGCCACTGAGCTATAGGTGCCGAGCCTGAAGGAACTTTTAAAAGCATTTTTCATTGGTAATCTGGTTCTATTTGTTGAGCTAGAAAGCACTGTTACACCTTGATGACTGCATTCCGTTTATCTTGAAATGGAGGTTATAATTGTACCTCGCTTTAATCAGAGCTAGTATAATATATACAATTGTAGATTTACCAAAAAACCTGTTCAGGCTCTCTACCCAGGGTGACACACTTGAGGCTCTATCTTTAACAAAAAAAAAAAAACCTGTTCAGAGAAGGGCAGTTAGCTTACTTAACCAAAAGATTCACTTTATAAGGACTTATAATAGTTTACATATATATATATATATATTTTTATTTTTTTTTTTTTTTTTTTTTTTTGGCCCTCAGGTGGCTCGAACCTACCACCCTCAATATATGGGGCCGGTGCCTACTCCTTGAGCCACAGGCGCCACCCAACTTACACATATTTAAAATTGAGTTTACTGCTCAGCAGCATAACTCTTATATACAATAAACAAAAAGCATAATTGTAATTACTTGTATTTACTCAAGTTACAAAAATAGATCATTAACTAGGACTGGCTTTCAGTTGATGTTGGTGACAGTGATGATGACATTGACTGGGCACTCACGATGTCCCAAGAACTGCTCGAACACTTTATTCTTCTAAGCTAATAATTTTGAGACTGATGTGTTAGAATTCTGTCTAAATATCTGACTCCCTGAAGCAATTGATACGTTTCCACAGCAACCAGGATTTCTGCTCACAGCACCCAGATCACATTGTATAATTAACTGCCTTGCCTATTAGCAGTGACCAAGAATGTCTTGTTGTAGTTCTGTCCCCAGCACCTGGCACTTCTTTAATTAATTACTAAATGAATGAAAAGGGTGGGGTGGGCAAAGAAAGTCCTTGGTATATTCTTGCACCAGCCAAGGAAGCGCCTTCGCCTGACCCTTGCTCACTGTAGCCTTTGCACCATGATTCCAAGTCATCAGCACAGAGAGCCCAAACCAGCAAAATATCCCTGGAGTCAAAACCCAAGTTTATTTAGCCCGCTGAAGCTAGGGAGAGCACAACTATGGAACCTTGGAGTGTTTCACAGGGAAAAATCGCAAGGGACATTTTAGGATGGCCCAAAGGTCATGAGTTCTCTCACTTGTTGCTCACAGTCAGTCACAGATCAAATTCCTTATTCTACTCTCTCCCCTGTCTCACAACTATACATGACTTAAAGAAAAGAAAGAGGGGGCTTTTAGAGGAGGTGAGTTTACTAGAGGAGTCTGGGAAGTGGTGGCCCCTTCTGCATTAGATGCTGTCAGAAAGCAATTGGCATCTCAGTAACTCCTGTTGAGAGGCTGGGAGAGCTGAAGTTGAGCTGGGATGTCACAGATGAGCGAGCAGCAGTCACTCAGGAGAGTCTGATGGTCCGTGAGCAGACCGTGCTCTGCAAGCAGCAGCCTGCAGGCTGTTGGACTTGTTCTCGGCAGGACACATTGGTGAGGAAGGGCACCGTCTGCTTGTCCACATCCAGCGTACTCCTCCAGATGCAGCTTTTGTGGTTCACATTATTTAAAACAAGTATTTTGCTGTTTTGTGATGAGCTTGTGGTGGTTCATCACACACTCAGGCATCTCACAACTTTGTCTATTTTCCTGCAGAAATACTGCTGACACTGAAGGTTGCTTCTTTCTTCAGCTGACCAGGCTCACTTGCTCAAGACACTACCCAGTCTGGAGAGCTGTGTCTATTTGTTTTGACCCAATTGACCTGCCAGCCGGTTCTGCCAGAGCCGAATCAGCAGACAGGCCTGGGCCTGGCTCCCAGGGTGGAGTCCGCTCAGTGCTGCAGGAGGGGCCGCCTCTTCTCTCGACAGTCTGAAGCTCACATCCAGACAGCCGCTCAGTCTGTTCACTGCATTCACCTTAGTGCAACTTAGATCTCTCCTGCAAAGTAAATGTCGACAGGCAAATTTCATACCCGTGTCAGATTGAATGTATTTAAATGTATGTATTTAAGGAGAACCATGCTCTTGTTCTGTTCCTGTTAGGTGCCAGACACTGGTTTCTTGCTTTGTTTTCCCTGGCTATCAGTCTAGTACAAAGACTTAAGATTTCATCTGGGGGGGGAAAAGAATTTTTAAAAAATCAAACTAAAGGTATTTTAAAGTAACACCTGCATTTGGGATGGAAGCAGGGCAGACAGCACGGACAGCGCTGTATGTGCAGACACACCCAATGAGTGAAGGCCCATGAGGTCGAAATTGTATCTTTGTAGAAAGCTCTAAAGACCATGTTGGAAATTGTTTCCAGTTATTGAACATACGAGAAGGAGCCTGTAAGAGGGCTGTTAATGTTAACAAGGTTTTTTTTTCTCCTTTATTAAAACCAAACTAGTTTACCTAAATCATAAATCGAGCAGAAATGTTTTTCATTTCTCAATTAAGTTCCCTTCAGATTTATCAGACAGCTTGAGTTGGCATCTCTTCTCCCCACTGTGATCCTGACTCCTCCCTCTCTGCCTTCCCCCATCTCCCCTACTCTGATTCTTTTTTTTTAATAATATAAGCTACAGAAACCAGGTAAGCCCTTTATTTCCTAAAATGTTTTGCCAGCCACTTACCAATTGCTAACTATTGAATTTCAGAAAAAATGCATTTACTGGCAAGGAGAAGAGCAAAGTTAAGACTTGATACCACTCACGCTAAGGACACCTGCTCTGGAAGCATGTTTATCTGTTCCCAGCAGCTCTGGCCTCCAAAAGGGGAGAAAATACTATTGTGTTTAAATTGACAGATTTAACCTCTGCCATGTGTTTTTTATTTTGTTTTTTAGCAGTGCTAATTAAGCCGAAGTTTTGTAAGGTACATAAGATCCAATTTATATGTAAACAAGCAATAATTTAAGTTGAGAACTTAAGTGTTTTAATTGTATAATTTTTGTGAGGTATACATATTGTGGAATTGACTCAAAAATGAGGTACTTCAGTATTAAAATTAGATACCTTCATAGCAATGTCTCCTAAAGGTGTTTTGTAAAGGATATCAATGCCTTGATTAGACCTAATTTGTAGACTTCAGACTTTTTATTTTCTAAACCTTGTGATTCTGCTCATAAATCATTTATCTAATCTATATGATATGCAGCCGCTGTAGGAACCAATTCTTGATTTTTATATGTTTATATTCTTTCTTAATGAACCTTGGGAAGACTACATGTTACTAAGCAGGCCACTTTTATGGTTGTTTTTCTTGCCCACTCTGGTAGGGGAATAATCTTTTATTAATTGGTATCAGTTTCAGACAACTGCAATACCAAGAAACTGATGACCTTTTTTGAGCTATTTCTTCTCAACCCCTAATACATATACCTTTCTTACCTAAATTTCAGAATGATATCTTTTTGATGTCTAAAAAGCAAAGCATTTTGTAATATCTCATTAGCCAGGCTTTTTAGGAACAGAGAAGTTTTTCCTTGAAATTTGATTGTTTATTTGTGGCAGGGTGAAAAATGTACAGACTACCCCTATTTATATTTATATCTCTCTCTATATGTACAGATTATGGAAATATGGAAAGAGATATAGCCCAAAGATAAATAAATGGTAAGTGAGTCTGAAAGTGTTGCTCTATACTAAAGAAACTTTCTGGAAATTTGCATTTCGCAACTTTTTTCCACTTGAGAGGGATCTCAATACAGGGAGGTGGCCAAGGAACAGCACTTCTTGGTGGCTACCAGTTCACAAATCCCCTCAAAAGGCTCTACTTTTCTCCACCAAACCATGGGGTTGCCCAACTGTGATGGAAGGAACGAGCAGATGTTGGCCCAGAACTCCAGGACCTCCTCCGCGGGACGAGGCTCAGCTGGCCCACAGTGTAATGTGACCAGCCTTAAATTGATGTTTAGAAATATGTGAATTAGAATGACTTCAACTTCACACAGCACAAAAGAGAAACAGAGTTTAAGCTGGATTTTTTTTTTCCTTTCTCTTGAGTTTTAAGCCCCTCTTTACTACAACACTGTCTCTTTTGTTGTTCATCCACCTGCCGCTGTGTTTTACTATCAGTCCCAGTTCAGACAGATCTCTGCAAACCTGCGATGCTGGTAATTCACCATCACTACTGTTTCGAAGGAAAAGAGATGATAAATGCTCTTGTGGTTCAGATCAGGTAATGGATTTTGTTTTACATCTAATTAGGAGAAGAAAAGTAAGTGAAGGAATCTCCTCTGATCATATTGATCACTATAGAAGCAAAAGCCAAATCAATTCCCCTCATCATCAGTATTTCTTAAGCTGTACACAATAAATTTGTTAGACTGAGTACTTGGTTTTTGTTTAATAGAACAAATAATCAGTGTTTTACTTATATTACTAAATGTGAAAAACATAATGTGAAAAGTATACATACATTAACTTGGTTGTAAAATTCATTTAAGTGTTCACGTAATGTGGTAAGTTTAAAAAGTGAGGTGAGCTGTTTTACTACAATGAATTCATTTTGACGCAAAGATTAAACTGCCCCTCCCCCATGTGTATCTCTTATGGCCTGTAATAATTGAAAGCAATGTTTTTGCGGTTTATATAATGCAATTTTTATCTGTGTTCAAAAATGGAGTTCATATGGGCTTAACACATGAAATGGGTGGCACAGATCCACTTGCAGAACCCAAAGATACACAATCAATTTTGAAATGCAACTTAAGCCATTAATTGTTGGTGTGAATTTAAAATTTTCTAGTGTTTGTATGGTAGTTTGCTGCCTAAGAGCAAAGCATTCTCTGCACAAAAGAAAATTACTGTAGTGGCTTCGATTTTAATTAGATTTTTCTCCCTGGTGTTTCTTTATAGACTAAAACAAAATCTTTTAAGTTTCTTACTACAGGTAAAAGCTATGTGCAAGAACCTCAAAATGCTAAAATCTAGCATAATGCCTTAGATCTGTTTTTAAGTCTTGTATATTCCTACATAGCTGTCCGATGTATTATATTTGTATAGTGAATTGTGTACAATTTTTGAATAAGTGCGTCATCACTTAACCTTTATGTTGTTGACCAGTGATGATGATACATTTCTTCAAACATTTAACTGTCTTTTTTTTTTTTCTTTGTCATTTGTGGGTTTTATTTGTACAGTTCCTCATGAAGTTGCATCTGAGATGTGTGTATATGAAAAGATTATACAAGGGTAAAATTAAGCAATATATTAACTATGGTTCTTCAGGAGAAGCTTACGGTGTTTCAGGTTGTGATTTATTTTCCAAATGGAGTTGACTCTGAACATCACTTTGTTCACCTGCATTGATGTTTGTATTTCTAGTGTGAGCAGTTTATGCAAAGGTAGATATATTCAGAGAACTTTTAAATACATTTATGCAAGTTAATATTGCTTTGCTGATGCTATTTGCTTATTTGATGTTAAATAATGCTATTGTAAATAAAGAATTCTGTTGTTATTGCATCATTTAATAAATTTTAATGCCTTCGGGTTTTACATGGCTTTAGAGATTTTAGTGTTTTTATCTTGTATCTTTCATAATTGCATTTAAATTAAAAATATCTTATAATTTAATAATTTCTTACATTATATGGTAGTTGACACAATTCACAGCATTTTAATACTTAGTTCATCAAATAACCC